ATCATGTAATTTGAGTAATCCGAGTTCTATTGAGGCTAATAAAGTCGTTAGAGTGGTGCCTATTGATAAAAAAAAATAAAATAATAAAATAAAAAATAAGTATTAGTAAAAATAAGATAAAATAAAAAAAAATGAAAATACACTTACTTTTTTCAACTCTGATTGTTATAATACTATTTAGTATTGGGTTTATGAACGATGTAGTTATTTTTATTATGCAGAAATCTTTCGTGTCCAAAGTATCTTTATTATAGTAGACAAATATTAATCAAATTTAGCACGTGTCATAACTTGAGCGAATAGATCACAAACTAAAGGATTTAAATGGTAATAATAAAAACCTTCCCATGTGATAGGTTCATGTTTTAAAATTCCTGAACCTTCTTCCAAATCATCATTATAATTTTTGTGGTTTATTCTTCCATCATGTAACAAAACTTGCCATTCAACTTTAGCTTCCCGAGGAAGTGACGGTACAGTAATGTAGAGACTTGGTGGTACTTTATAGCAATTCTACACTAAAAGAGGTTAAAAACCTATCCTAACTTAATGACTAAAATTTAATCATTTATACATCAACTCACATCACCCTTCCTCCATTCACAAACACACTTCCAAGCCTGTTGCACCACTTCAAAAGACGTGTCCTCATCGACAAAACATATACACCCCACCGAAAATTTCCAAACATCTAGTTCCAGAACTGACGTGATCCTTTCTAAATTTTTTAACGAAAGTATAGTTTGGGAATGCAGACTGAGAGGGGTTGGAAATCTTAAAGATGCTGGAATTAAGCCTATCTGTCCTGCTATAAATGCATGATTGTTTATCTAAAAAAAAAAAAAAATTATAATCGATAAAGAAAACTTAGAATCCTCAATTTCTGGAATTTTGGTTTAGAATTTACAATTTTAGCTTGAGAATAAGGCCCAATATTTGCAGGTGCCCAATATGACATGCTTTGGACATGCATAGTGTTTACTGGTTTAATGTTTGAATAATCTCTAAATTTTATAGCAATTAAATCAATTTGAATCTTCGCCGGAGATGGAAGATTACATCCAACACATGTCCTAATGCAATATTTTATTATTATGCAAGTAATTTATCATCAAGAACTTAAGTAAATCAAAAGTTACCTTGTTGGTGGATTTATATCAAAAAATGATTTATAAATAACATTCATTCTTCCAAACTCATTCATATCTTTGATAAAAACGTTCATATTTATGACATCGGTCCAGTTTAATCCTAATTTAACCAATCTTTCTAATTTGTAAAACCTAGCATTAATTCTCGTACTTTCACAAAATATCTATATAAAGTTTACGTGTCAAATCTAGCTACCTTCAAGGTTCTTCATACACACATGCGTTTCTTCTTCAATCGTATCTAACTGAAATTGACTGGTTTGAGAACTTTTATGGTCGTAAGCAGTAGTTCCAGAGATGGCGAAATAAGGTGAGTTTGAATGCACAGTGTAAAGATCTACCAAAAAATTGAATTGTAAATATTTGTTACAAGTCTGTTAAAACGTACTAATTGTCAAATATTAGAATAAACTAATAATGGGTTGTCGTCAATAGAAATCAAACAAATTGACATTTTACAAAAATTAATGCTTTTAACTTTCACTACTCATATCTCGCTGAACTTCGAAGCTATTCTCATTATTTAATAGTTAAAAGAAATTTAAGATCAAAGCTTTCTTTTGATTATTAAATCATGAGAATAGCTTCGAAATATGAGCAGCGAAAGTTAAAGCATTAATTTTTTTTAAAAATGTCAATCTGCTTGATTTCTATTGACGGTAGCCCATATATTGTATGTTCCAGAAAATAAGTATCCTTCCTAGATAGGTCTTAATTTCAGATACCATAAATGAGAAAAATAGTGAAAACTAACATATATATATAGGACTATTTTGAAGACTATACAAAGGATGCTCATTTTCAGAATATATGGTAATTAGTTAATTACCCATGTAATCATTATTCATCTCTGGGACGTAATCATTATCTATTCTCGAAGCGGCATTTAATACATTCTCGCCTTTAAACACCTTAAGCACTCCAATAATTAGATTTATAAAAATTAAAAGCAGATGTAACACCTATTTGAAGAAACAATACCTCTATCTTACTTAAAATATCTTCAAAGCCATCACTCCATGCGGGAACTTTAATCAAGTTCGTCATCGTAGTAGTGCTGGCCAGCTTATCCATCACAACTAATTTTTTTAATCGAATATAAGCTACTTCTGCAAATGCATTATCTGAATGCATGATGATTTCACTTTCTTCACTATTAAAATATTCATATCATGATCAAGGAATTTAATAAGTATATCAGAAATCATTATACAATTGTGAACAATATTCAAACTCTTACACATGTAGTTTCTTGATAAATAATGGGCAATCTAAAGTAAATGTCTCATATTCACCTCCTTCACCACATAAATGAACATCATATTTTTCATTCTATAATATGAATATTTCCATGTTAAAAAATGATCAGGATCAAATCGTAAAATATTTACTAATATTCAAACATACCAAACTACACAAATGAGGATACAACTCTTCGATAGATTTACCCAAATGTGTTGATTTGAGACCTAAATGAAGAAATCAAAATAAACATTTAAGTCAAAAAAAAAATAAAATAAAAATAAAAAAATAAAAATAAAAATAAAAATAAACCGAATTATAAAATAAGTACTTGCCGATAGCAGCAACTTTAATCAATATAGCATTAACCCCAGTATTAATCATTTCAGATAGCAATTCTTTTTGATTTCTTCGCCAAAGATATGCAATAGGTGTAAGTCCTAAGCGAATACATCTATTGTGTGATAAAATGTGATGAATGTAAGTTAATGATACTCATCTAATCGGTGAGAAAATTAATTAACAGCATGAAATTACATTTACACATTTTCAACACGGACACGCTGATAATTTGATAATATTGCACCAACAGAAACCCCTTGAATGTCTGGATTTGCTTCCTAAAATTAAATTACATTAGTGCATTTCAATAGTTGACATTATTCAAGGGTAAAAATCCCGCAAATTTTACTAACCTATCCATTATCAATATACTACGTAAGTATTCTAATATCGTTATCTCGTAAGTGGGAGAACCAAGCAAGTAAAAGTTCAAAATCAACATTATAATAGAATTTGATTTTAGAGACTTTAATAATACGCTTGCAACATCAAAATAAAAAACTCTTCTGTTTGAGGCGCTGCATTATTCGTTGTAAAATTATTATCGTTATGCAGCGTTATAGGTATGAAGAGTACAATTTATCATCGATAGGATACGAAGATTTTTTAAAACAAAAAAGCAAAGTATTAACATGTGCTTACTAATATATTTATTACGATATATTAGAGCGTTAGAAACTCGCGATAATTTCTATCATAATGAAGGTGGTAGCGTTAATAAGCGGAGGAAAAGACAGTTGCTTTAATATGATGCATTGTGTTGCAAATGGTCATCAGATTACTGCGTTGGCAAATTTAAAGCCTCATACAGATTCTCGAAAAGGTACTTTAAATAACTTTATTATGTATAGACTACATAAATATATATATTTTAACACTTTTTGTTTTGACCATAGATGAACTTGATAGTTTCCTTTATCAAACGGTTGGTCATGATGCGATTTCGTATTATGCTGAATGTATGGGCTTGCCCTTGTACAGACGTGAGATTTTTGGTTGTTCGCTAATACAAGAGGCGGATTACAAGCTTACTACCGGTGATGAAACCGAAGATCTGTTTGAATTATCGAAAGAGGTTAAGGTTAGTAAAATTTGCGGGATTTTTACCCTTGAATAATGTCAACTATTGAAATGCACTAATGTAATTTA